TAAAAATTAATACAAATGCAGTTTCCCTCAGTTTACTTTGATGGATTTGCTTCTAGAATTCTCTCTGGAATCCTGGAATCCTAAATGTGATCAAAGAACTTCGAACATTTTTTTTCACATTAGTACCTTTAGACTCCTTGTCATTCATATGTGACAGCCCAACACATAGCTTTGTAGTGAAGTCATCTTATTTCAGATTAAAGATCCCTACTTCTAGTTAAAATAGGTCCAAAGAGAATAGTAGGCTGAGATTCAGAAAGTCAGAGTTGTAGCATTACTTAATTGTATGACCTTGGGCAAGTTATTTAACCTCAGTAAACAGTGGATGGCAGCTAACAACAACAGATCTCCTTTGCTGTATCTGTAAAATGATGGGTTAGGCCTGCATTTTCTGTGATACTGTAAAGTCCTGTGATGCTGCATTTTCCTCATTTTAGGAGGAACTCACTTTATGAAAGTCAGACTTCACTGTAGAAGATTAATGTGTGTGGTGTTAAATTTCTTTTAAACTGATGGAGCAATAGTAATTTATCCATTTGAATTTAACATATGATTTTGATTTGTGCAAACTTTTTAGTAATACACCTGACGAATAAAAGAAGTTATACTTCTCTTATACATTGTACCGATAGGTCTCAGTGGGTGGTGGAGTCTCCCTGGGAGTAGCAGAGAGGTGTAGAGAAGGTATAGACAGGGGAGGGGACTTCAGCCCTAGAGGACTGTGTAGTAAAAATGTATGCTGCTTTCAGAGGGTTAAATTTCCGGGGATGGTAGCATTGTTTTGTTTTCGCTTGGCTTCAGTGTGGTTAAACATATATGTCCTATGTCTTTGTACTTTATGTGGTATTATTCTTTTGGAAAGGAACCCCGTAACAAGGACCATGTAGTATAGTGGCCTTTGGAATTTGATAAATCTGGGTTTACATCCTGCCCTTGCAATTTACTAACTGTGAGACTGTGGGTGAGTTACTATTTTTTGAAATTGCTAATCTGAAAAATGAGAAAGCATGTTACCCACCTCAGCTGATTGTCCTGGGTACTAACTGAGATAAAATAGGAAACACACTAGTACATTGCCTGGCCCAGAGCAGACTAACAATAACTACATGGGCTATTTTTTTAAAAACAAACAAATTAAGTTGGTTTCTGTTTATGCATATCTATACTGTTCATAGGAGCCCTGGTGACGCAGTGGTTAAGTGCTTGGCTGTTAACCAAAAGGTAGGCGGTTGGAACCCAGCAGTGGCTGCACAGGAGAAAAGACCTGGCTCTCTGCTCCCGTAAATATTTCAGCCTGGGAAACCCTATGGGCAGTTCTACTCTGTACCCGACTCTATAGAGTCCATATGAATTGGAAAAAACTTGACAACACATAACAACATACAAATTCATACATGTGAAAATATATTGAGTAGAGCTAGAGTTTACTGATTTCATTTTCTCACTTGGGGCTCCTGCTTGGCTGTCTCTTATAGGAACTGGTATTTTCTTAATTAAGCTATTCCTAGACATTTCTATGGAGTCTTTGGAATTCTTAAAACAATGTTTAGGACAAATGTTGGCATTTCTTCACTAATTGAGGTCTATAAGCTACTTAAAGTTTGATTTTCTTAACCTTAATGGAATCCTTCTTTCTAGACAAAAACAAGAAGTGTATCTGGAAATTAGTTAATTTCAAAGATGCTGGAAACAGATTAAGAA